TTGATCTTTTTTTAGGTAATATATTTCTTGGTTTCATCCATTTTGGCATTCTTTCATTTTCTAGAGTTTTCTTCGTCGTTGGTATCATCTAGTTTTGAGTTTCTTTTGCTGTCAGTGCATTACCTGGAGCTTTTTCGTTGGTAGTGTTGTCTATTTCGGCATTCTTTTGTTGCTGGTGTGTTACTGTCGTTGGTGTAATTCAGTTTGGAATCTCTTTTGTTGCTGGTGTATTACTTGGACAATGAGTTTCTCAATTATACAGCGAAGTATTAATTTTTAATTTTTTTTTTTTTGCTTTAGTATTATATTCGTGCAGTACTAATTCTTTTCAGGTTCAGAACAGGTGACCATTGTGTCTTGCTTTTTTGGTGTGTTACTGGATATGTTTGTCATTGGTGCCGAGTTTGTGATGCTGTGTTTGGCGCTTTTTTTGTCGTTTTGTTCGTCATGCTATGCGTTAGGTTTTCACGTTGGTCTTTGATTTTCATAATGTTGTTAGGATTTAGTGATTAGGAAAGTTAGCTATAGGGTTAGAGTTAGATTATATTAGATATTTAGATAAAAGGAGCAAAGCAGAGGTGACAGCCATAGCGAGCCACCACAGAGTAAACTATAGATTTAACTAAGATTTTAGAACCAAAATTCTTATATGTAATAATAATACACTCACTACAAATGGCAGTGAAAGTCTAGAAAAATAAAAAAAAAAAGAGTTGTTATATCAAAACTAATATATTACGGTTACTGTAGCAGTAAATTTAGATGATCAAATCTGAATTTACCATTACTTGAGAATCTGAATGGTTCTAAAATAGTAGGATAAATAAATAATCCAAATAGTTAGTAAACTGAATTGATAGATATTAGCTGCATTATGAATCAATTGTACGATACCAATTGTTGCATATAGATATTGAATCAAAATTTATTTCATTTTGTTATTCTGCTTTTATTACAAAGAATAAGCAATTTAATATGTAGAATAAGACATGCACAAGAAAATTATAACATGTACAAAAAAAAATATAATGTACATACAAAATATGTATGAAAAAAAAATGTACAAATTTGTACAAATTTGTACAAAAAAAGAAAAAAAAGAAAAAAAACATGCATGAAAAAAAAAAAAAATCGAATTACTGTTATGAACTTTAATACAAAATTCTAATCATAGTTTAAAAACATTTCTCCTAATTCAGCCGGATCATAATCCTCTTCTTGATTGAATTCTTCTAACTAGTTACTTGATCCTGTATCTAAAACATTATTATCTATATCTGCCTCAGTTTGACTAGTTTTTGGTAAAAATAATGAATTTGATAAATTTAAAGCCTCTTCTAACTCAAAAGACTCTTCTGAAACAATATCATTATCATCATCCATACTAGACTGATCAATGTTAACATTTGTTATAGCTTGTTCAAAGGTAATTGTATCAGTTTCTTCATAAAGATTTGCATCATATAGTATTTTTCTAATATCCTCAGCTGATTTGTTTATACTATAATAAGGTAATTCAAATTTATTGTTTGCAATATAGTATGAACGAATTTGAGCAATTG